CTCTCCCTCTCTCTCTCTCCCTCTCTCCCTCTCTCCCTCTCTCCTCTGTCTCTCTTTGTGCCTGTCCCTCCCGGGCGCTCTGCCTCTGTTCCCATTCTCTCTCCCTCTCTGCCTCCCCCATCCTCAAGGCCCATCTCCCTCCCTCCCTCCCTGCATCCTTCCCCCTCCCTCCGCGCCCCTCCCCTCCTCCGCAGTAGCCAATGAGCGGCCGCCGGTCCCTGCTCCCGGCTCCGTCCGCCGAGTGAGGCCGCGGGCGCGGGGGGTGGGGGGTGGGAGGCCGGGAGGGGGCCGGGACGCCGGGCTCCGGGGCGGGGGCGGGGGGCGCGGGCACCGGCGACCCCGGTGGCGGCGGCGGCGGCCGGGGGAAGCCGCGAGGCCGGTCATGCGGCTGCGGGGCCCGCGGCCCGGAGCGTCCGCCCAGCCCTGAGCGAGGTGAGCGCGAGGGGAGGGTCCTGGAAGGCCGGGGGCGCCCCTGGAGGAGAGTGGAAGCCGCAGCTGGGACCGAAGGGGCCTGAGTGGCGGCTGGGGTGGGACTCCGGCGGTCAGGACGCCCGAATTCAGGAGGCTGTGGGGGATGTAGGGGAAATTGGGCCTGGCGATTCCCGGAGGACCGGGTCCGAGGGTCCCGGAGCCGGGAAACTGTACTCCTAGCGCCGGTGTCTCAGAGACCGTTGCCACTGGGGAGGGTCTAGGCAGAGTCCTTGAGAGGCGGTACCTGGAGTGAGGGTGGAGGGCACAGGCCGGAAAAGCAGGGTGTGAATCTGGAAASGGGTCCCCAGAAAGAGGGAGTTACCGTCTCCCCAAGAGATTGAAGGGAGAAGGAGTTCGGACTGCGGGTTTGAGGAGTAGGACCCCAGGGACTCAAATGCCTGGGGTAAAGGACGAGAAGGAGGCTCCAGGCCTGGGGGGAGGGTCCCATAGGAGGATGGGCTGCAGAATAAGGAGCTCTGGGCCGGCCAGGTAGAGGGGAGACTGGAGCGAGGAAGGCGCGTGTTCGAAGGGGTGCCGTCCGGCAAGATCCCAGCTGGGTGTGGAGGCAGACAGAAGAAAGTGTCAGCTACCTGGACRAGAGAGTCGGCGACCGACGGGGTTTAGGATGCTTGCTTCCCAACTGAGAGGACTRGAGCCGAGCAGGCAGCGGGCGGTCAAGCCCTGGAGCCAGCCCGTGGGGGTTGGGAGAAAAGCTAGCTAGAGCTTTGCCAGTCCCGATCCCTGGGGGGATCTTGATGCTGTGAATAGGAGGGTGGGGACTGGTCTTAGACTCCCGGGKTCCTTATTGGGGTGGGACAGAGTTTCAAAGTTTCAAGAATTCTAGTTAAGGAAGGTGGAGTCTCACGTCTTGGTTACATTGTTTGGCGAGTATTTAGGGGGTCTCAAACTTTTCTGTCAAAAAGGTGGTGGATAGAGCTGGTATTCGGGGATGTTGAGGTCTCTGGCTGCCATAGGCTGAGGATCCCCAGGTGAGCCCCCATATCATGGCATTGTGTGGTTTAGGGGAAGGGGGATATGAGGATTGCAGGTGAGGAACTGGAAATCCTTCCGTTTCATGTTTAGGGGCCTCCTGGTTGGAATATCTGGGTTGCCAATTGGACTTTGGGAGACCATAGGTATGAACTGGGGATTTCTTGTTCAGAGGGTCCAGTGTTGGGGTCTGCATTCCATGGTTGATGTTGAAGAGTGTCTGTTATTAGAAGTCCTAGCATGAGAAGTCAGGGGCAGAGTCTCTGGTAAGGAATTTTTGGGTCATTTGATGGGGGATGGGATCCTGAAATTCCTAGTTTTCTGATTTCTAGCCAGCAGATGAGGATCCTAGTTTTACTGGGATGCTCTGGTTGGGATGCTGGGTCAAGAGTATCCCAGCTTGTTGTTTAGGCATTCTGGAGTCTCTAGTCAAGATCATGGTTCCAGKTCTCTGGGTCTCACTGTCCTGGGATCCAGAAGCCTGTAACCAAGACCCAGTATCCCAGGTTCAGGGGCTGCCTGATCTGGGAGGCTGAAATTAGGGTTCTGGGATTTGGGCTCTGGATTGTGACAGTGATCTTAGATTGGGGTGCCAAATTGAGGTCAAGGTACAGGATCAGCTGTAGAAGGTCATGGGTCAAGTTCATGGTGTTAGAAGGGGTGTTAGGGTCAAGTCTGAGAGTTTAAGCTTTGATGGGGCCTCTGCTCAAAGTTTCAGGTAAGCCTGAAGTCAAGGGTCTGAAACCAAGATGTGGGGGTTAGGAATTCTTGRTTAGTGACCCACTTAGGGGATTTCTGCAGTTCAGAGACAGGGYCCAAAGGAAAAATATCGTGGCATTGGATCAGGGCATGGGTTAGTTTCTGAAAAGGTCAAGTTACACAGCATCCAGAATCTAAGCCTACTACGCCAGGTGCAGGCAMCTAAGTCCTGGCTTAATGTTGAGATGATGGGTACTGGTCTGGGAGCTTAGGTCAGGACAGAATAAGGGTTGAAGCTGCCAGTCAGCCTAATAGTTCTATGTCACCAAGGCAGGCTCAAGGTTGGGGACTCTGATGGGGTCTGATTCTAAGACCAGGTTCTCAGTTCAAGGCAGGAGGTTAGGGCTGGGAGTCTGGTGATGGAATTGAAAATCTGGAATTAGAATTTGTRATAAAAGCCATGACATTTGGAACCAGGTTCGGGCCTGGGATAAGTAGATTTGAGGCTTGTGGTTGGAAATCTAAACCTGGGGTTAGGGACCTGGAGCCAGAGCCAGGGCACAGTTAGCAGATACCAGAAGGCCCATCCTGAGGTTGGGGGTCAACAGTTGGTGGCTCCAGTCAGTATGCAGGGCCGGGTGGTGGCTCAGGACACAGAATTCGTGTTGGAGAGTTTGGTTGTGGAGTTAGCTTTCTGGCCAGGGCCGGGTATACTAACTGGCCCCACAGGTTGGGGACTTGGGTGAATCCGCTCGTGGTTCTGCACCTCAGATTCTGGTTCCGCAGG